TCAATTTTAGTGTTCAATAGTAGGTATTAATAATAATTATAATAACAATAGCCTTACCTGAACTAATTTCATTTATTTCTGATTTCTCGTAGTTTGGTTCGTTATTATGATCACGATCATGCTGGTCTCTATTCTCTACATCAAGTTTAGGTTTTTTTACTATCCACTTATCCATTGTTAAATGTTAATATACTTAAACCTTTTAATAAAATATAAGTACTTAAACTTTTTAAGACAAATATACAATAGTTCGTACTTCGTAGTTCGAATGCAACTGTAGTTTTGTTTGTCACTATAAGTTTAATATAGTTCAATGGTTGATAAAATAACATATAGGCACTGCTAGACACGACCGCGACCGGAGACCATCCACGGGTACTAAAGATAGAAAGCGACAGAAGACATACTATTTAGTTTTATTTTTTGAATCAATCTAATTGGGACGATTTTTTTCTCTTAAACAAATCTATTGCCTCTTCGATTAATTGCTACTGCTTGGTCCTAATTAGGGTCTTCTTCAGCTTTGGTACTTATTTTCATACAATATCCTATGCAATACGTCTTATATACGATTTAGAAAATTGTAGGTGTAAGCCATTGAAACATCAAACATTGATGACAATGAATTATATTTGACTCAACATGATTATAGTCTATAGGTAATATTAAGTTATAGATTTTTTTCTATAAAACGTGTGAATGGTAGGTACTTTTATTGATGGTAATATTGTAACAAAATCGCAAATGAAATGTCAAGGCATGAATAAACCTGGATTCAACGATAGACGGTTAGCTTATGTATTCTACAACTTTGAGTTTATCACACTTGATTAACGTGAATAAATCGCGAAAACGAAAACATGGACTTTCGCGTGGCAAAATATTGTAATATAACATCGTAATGACGTCTATAAAACCGGACGCCAACGCCACGCAGGTCCTTCACCCGGCGAAGTCTTCGTTGCGGACCATGCACGTGCCGATGTAATCACTTGCCGTCGTCGTTCTAATTAATTTATTATGCGTAGCAAGAGTATTGTACATAAGTACGTCATGTTATCGTTTTTCAACGTATCACACATTGTAACACATAATAATAATATGACGTGAGATGAGAAAAAAACGAACAATTAATAAACCAACTCGAATAAATAACGCCTGCAGAAGGTTGAAACACGCACAACGGGATACGACAGGTGGTATAATGGACATTTATATTTTATATTTTTTATACACACAATTTACACAACGATTGTATGGCGCGTAAATAACAGCTCGACAATGATCTATATTATTAATGCTCTTGAGTCTTGACACTTATTATTGGGTCTGAGTATACATGGATTCATAGCATGGACTTAAAAAAGTCTGACGTCTAATATCCCACAATGTAAGTGGTAAGTTTAGAGAGCTACCACAGTTTATTTACCTATCCATATTGACGATCGTAACGTGGAGATGAAAAAAATATTTTAAAACTGTAAGTGTATCATTTATTTTTTAAAGTATTCATATTGTACCTATAATTGTGGCCACCTGATGATTATATTATACAGCGAGTCCAAATAAGAAAGCTCCTTTACGTCAAATTATGTCAAAATTACATTATATATATTTAATGTATTAATTTGTTATTAAATTTAAAAATGCATACCCGCGTAAATGATAAGCAGTGTTTATGTAACAAAAAAGCTCACGAGTCAGGTACCCATAGTTTTTAGAGGGAAATGGTCAATTATTGGTTTAAGTGCATACATATAGAGCTAATGCTAATTTGCCATTCCATACCATTTGCCACGGGCGTAAGAATTATCTCAGATCCGGTATAACAGGTGAATCATACCCCCGGGGGATGATTTTCCTAGGTTACTAGTACCCCCAGTACAAATATCCTAGGATATTAATACCCCCCTAAAATTATAAACCAGGGGTACAAATAACCTAGGATAATATACCCCCCATGGGGGTATGAAAAACCTATTAATTTTATACCCCCGGTATGATAATCCTAGGATACGTATACGTCCCAAAATGTCATACCAGGGGTACGTTTATCCTAGGAAATTTTTATCCCCGGTATAATATTCCTAAGATATTTATACCCCCCAAAATTGCATATACCAAGAGTTACAAATATCCTAGGAATTTTAGACCCCCGGTATAATTTTCCTAGGATATTCGTATCTCGATATTTTCGTATTTCTTTGTACCGGGGGTACTATTAACCTAGGAAAATCATACCACAGGGGGTGTAAATATTCGGGGGTATTGTTTTCCTGTCACACAGGCACTGGATTTGAGTATAGTGAGATCATAATATTATACATAAACGATAATAAACATAATAATTAATAATATTAAGTATCGATTGTTCACAAGTTCGTCGTTACGCCATCGACCTTGAAGGACAAATATAATTGAACGCGTAATATTCCTATATTTATCACAGGCTAGTTTTTATTATTTATGGTAGTCTAATAATTGTTCTTATGTATGAATTTTAACGAATGATAAATTATTTTGTTATATATGACTATTAAAATAATTTAACTTCATTGTTATTGATTATTAATAACCTTTGATCAAACAACAAAACATGAATTAAAATAAATATTTGACGTAATACGGATCGTAAGAGGGGGGAAAGGAGGATAAAACAAAAAGTCAAAACTCATCCATCTTGCATACCTATAGCTATATTATATGTTAACATGTACCATATACTTGTGTATAGAAAATTATTTTAAAGCTGTCCGTACACAAGTAGTTGTTTTCCAGTGCCAAGATACTAAATTTATATTATGTTCAGTTGAAATAATAGTGAGTGTTTTTACACATTTGAATTCGTCCAACCATATTTTCTTTTTATACTATTATCATGCTACCATATAGCACCACATTATACCACATTATACTATATTAAAAATGTATTCAACCGAATATAGTGTAATTTAACAAAGGAAATAATGTATATTACCTAACCTACATTATACCTACCTACATAAACAAGTATTTTTTTTTATCGCCACAAGAGCTTAACCTTCTCCAGATCGGTGCAAATTCGCTAGTATCTATAAATCGGAATTCACTTCAAGAAAATATTTCGTCCTAAAAAATGTAATTCTGTAATATACCAATTAATATTTGTTTAAAAAACAAAAGGCTAATAACACACGTATATCGTAATAATATAAGCCCGAAAACTGAAATAGAAAACAAATTACTATCCGTACGCCTCAATACACAAACCACATTGACCTAGGAGTAAAATTTAAATAAGCAGTCAATAGAATTGACATTTGACACAATGAATAAAAAAAAATTTTAATATAATTAAATGACAAAACTCCAAGGATCTCAAATTTCGTAGCAGTTGATAGAAAAAATGAAGAAATAGGGGCAATAGTTTTCTGTGCATACAACACCAAAGTTAATATTCGTATTGACCACATTAGATACAAAGATAATAAAATAAAGTACTATCGCATTATTAATAATCATAATAAATAATAAAAAAATTATGCATCCGACACACAGAAATTAATTGATATTTAAGTGAAACACCGTCAGTTGACGTTCCGATGAAATTTTTCTCAATTACTATAACGTCTAATGCACCCATAATACATGTTTCTGTTTACGTGTTTTTTTTTTTGCGATGACATTATAAAACGAGTTTAGGATTTTATTACGGACAAAATATTTAAGTGAAACATTTAGACTGTCGCCGGATTATAAATATAATAATAAAAAAAAACTTAAAACCAGTACTGCTGTAGAAAGTGTTTTCGACATATCTTGTGTGGAAGGAATAGTAGGAAATAATTTCTTTTTGAAAGGTAGTTCCTGGCGCTTTACTACAAAAGCAGATGCAACGGATGAACGATCATCAGTCGATCGGTTGAATGTAATCCGAACGAAGATGAACGGAATCATATTTTTGGTGTGTGGATTATGCGCCTTAGTTGCTGGCCAAAATATAAACGAAAAAAATGATGTTGGTAAGAGGAGTGCTTATGATACCGACAATAGCCAAGGAGTACAACTTAACCAAGGAATAACTGATCAAGGAACACTTGATCAAGGAAAACCTGACCAAGGAGGATACGACCAAAATTCTTACGGACAAGGTGTCCCACTTGGACAAGGAACACTGCAACACGGCCAAGGAACACTCGGACAAGCAGTAGCAATAGATCAAGGGACGCACGACCAAAGCGCATATGGACAATCACTACAACTTACCTCAGGAACATACGACCAAAGTTCAAATGGACAAGCGGAACAGTTGAACCAAGTAACCCACGACCAAGGATCATACGAACAAGCAGTTCCAGTAGATCAAGGGACGCACGACCAAAGTGCATATGGACAAACAGCACAGATAAACCAAGGGACTTACGACCAAGCTATAAACATTCAAGGATCGTACGGTTTGCAAAACAATCAAGTCCAAGGGGCGCACAGTGAGAATCCATCGGATGAAAAAGTCCAATACCAGGCGGTCGAAAAAGAAGTGGTCCAACCGTACCCGGTCGAAGTGGAGAAACACTTACCATACCCGGTAAAGGTCGAGGTGCCCGTCGACCGCCCTTACCCGGTTCACGTGCCCAAACCTTATCCAGTGCACGTAGACAAGCCCGTCCCGTACGAGGTCAAAGTGGAAGTGCCTCAACCTTACACCGTCTTCAAGCAAGTTCCGTATGAAGTCAAGGTACCCGTCGACAAACCTTACACCGTGCACGTGCCCAAACCTTACACTGTTTTGGTCGAAAAGCGAGTACCTTACGAAGTCGTCAGGCACGTCCCTTACCCTATCGGTGTGTTCGTCGACAGACCGTACACCGTGTTCACGCCCTACGAGAAGCACGTACCGTATATTGTGGAGAGGCCGATTCCATACCCGATCACCGTGCCAGTCGACCGGCCATACCAGGTGATAGTCGAGAAACACGTACCATACACAGTGCAGAAGCCCGTTCCGTATGTCTTGCACAAGCCCGTCCCGTACCAGGTAAAGGTCCCGCTGAAAATTGAAGTCCCAGTACCGTACCAAACGGCTGGTACACAGACGGAAAGACCTTTTTCGTACGATTCGTGGACGTCGCCCCGCAATGAATTCTCTGGCAACAAACCTGGACACTATTTCGAAAAAAATTCAAACCATGGTTATGACCATAAATTTTAAATACGTATATTTATACCTACCTAGTCATTCGTTATATTTGCTGTTTAGAATATATTAAGATTTTCATAAATATTAAATTATATTATATTATGTAAATATATACAATTTTTTATGTTTTATTATGCAAAATTTGTTATTCATATTATATATCTATTTATAACTCGAAATCAAAGTGCTTTCGCTGTATACTATACATACATATTTTATTATTTATATCGATCCGCTCTCCAATAATAGTTGGATTCCTATAGTGGTTTTATTTCTTGTACATTATAGTTCGTACCGAAGCAGGCGTATCATTAATATTAATATATTACAGAAGATGGATACCTAATAATATAGTATGTTCTTTGAAGAGTCAAGTAAACGATTTGAGCTTATTATGTAGTGCACAGAGTAGAGAGACGTTGGTAACAGAACGTTTTGTTTACATAAAATATTATAATAAACTAATACCTTTACATATAACACGAACAATGTAAACATAGTAAACGTAGGTACCTATATTTTATACTTTTTACTATTCAAAAATACATAGGTACTTAAGTTTAAAAAGCATTAAACTCAAGTCGGTCGAACGAAAAGGATTTTAAAAATACCGCCTGCACTTATATCGTCAACATTGTATTTTTACATACTCGTTCTTTAATTTTAACTTTATTACGATTATGGTTTTTAATGAGTCTCACCGGTCTCATAAATTAAGTAAGTATTCAGTAGAATATAATCATTATTATGTAATGACTATATACTTAATGTTACACTATTATACATATTATATTTAACTTAAAATTTCGTATCGATTAAAATCATATTTCAAAACAAAGAGATAACATGTAGTATTATTTTGGATATCAGTCATAGAACACGTTGTATGTAGTGAAGGATAAAATGTAAACTTTATGTGCATAGATACTTAATAAGCCGTTTTCGATTAAAAGTATATTATATTTTATTTAGTACCAGCCTGTTAAAATAATTCTATTGACATGGAAATAAAATAACTTTTCAAACAGTGTAGGCATGTATGTTTCTGGTTTCTCACACTATGCAATCAGTTCATTTTTTTTTATACTCATCTTATGTATTTATTATACCCACGATTTAAGTAATACGAGTCATATGTCGTTAATATATTTTATAATTCAATTAAAGAATTCCATTCAACTATACAATTATTGAAGTATCAATTAACCTCCAATAATGTATTGATAAATAAATTAAATAGATACAATTAAATATAAGTTGTTAAGTTCAAAATTTGCGTGAAAGAAATTATATGTTACGATGTAAATCTAAAATGTATATGATAGCTGCCAATGACAAAGGTTAAAGTCATTCTAAGCTTTTTTCAAAATATAATAAAGTATTGCTGCCACGTTTACAACTGTGGATCTGCATTTTAAATATACATTATTATAAAATATTAGAACCGTGGAGTTTGAAATTGGAATTGAGTTATAAAATTCTTACACTTGTATGCTGTTTTAATAATAATTGGTTTAGGTACCTGCCATTATTTACGGTGAACTATTGTTTTATATTTTCAACCTTCATAATATTTTACACAAACTATACAACAGTTATTTTAGTGTAAAAAAGTATTGGACCATTGCCTATTTTGTGAGGGTTTAGTAATATAATATTATATCATTGCGATATAACATGGAGTATTTTTTTTTGCGGGTGAAGTGGCAAAATATAATTTATATTTCATATATTTTAAAATATAGTGGTGCGTAGTTTCAATGATCAAGTCTTTTATTTTGAATATAATATTATTTGTTGATAGATAATACAACATACGTGCGTTAGAACCAAAATTATTACAACCACTGAGTGAAATTCTCCGTATCATTATTCATTAGGTAATAGGTATACTACATAGTTGAATGATATGAGAAAAAGGGATTTGTCTGCTGTCCACTAATTGAAAAAAAGGTTATGCTAGCCGCATAAGGAAATGCCCATCATTGAAAGGATATATATAAAACATGTATATAATAGTGTACAATATATGACCATATGGGGTAACCGTATTGTTTGCTTTTGTCAGAGGATACGAAAATATCCAATATACAGAATACTACGTCATCTATGGCATAATATGATGTAAATTAAAACTAATCTGTTATTATTTATTATTGTTTATATACTAATTTTGTATTTGACTAATTTTATTTTATTTGAAGTTTCGAAATAATATCCCAATGATGTCAAAAATATCTTTAGGCACCCTTGAACCAAAAATAATGATTTAAAAATTAAGATGTGGATAGCTGTTAAATACAATAAGTGTCCTTATAATATTTAGAACGCATTGTTTTAAACAGTATTTCATCTAAGAGCTTAATGTATGTATAAATATTAATAAGTGATTCAATAACTTCTCAATGCAAATCAAAATATTTATAAGTCTGGCCATCTTAATCAATTCTAAAACATGATGTAACACGTTTATTATGAGATATTGAATAAACATCAAACATGTACCTATTATTATTTTTGAAACCGTACATAATCAGTTTACAACGGACTATTATAATAATTAAAATGTGGAATAAATATTATTGAATTGAAAACTAATAAATACTAGAATCACCATATCCCAAATAGGTCCAGAAAATCAAATGAAATTCTTAATAAATAATTATAATAATTGTTGTATTATAATATTTATAATGTATTAACTTTCTTATTTTTTACTTGACTATACAATTCACTGTGATTTATACTTACTCATATTCACTAATTTACTAAGCTTTTTAAATATCATAGTTATAATTTATTTCTAATAAATCAATATCATAAGGTAAAGAGTTTGTCAGTTACAAACTTTGTGGCAGCAAAGAAATTTTTAAAAGTGAATTTATTTAAGGAAGTTTTTATGTTTTTTCAAACCATATTAAACGTTTAAGTTGATCATTTATGTTACAATAACTGTAAATACTATGCAGTTTGAAGGATAATTAATAATCGCATACTTCAAGGGAGCTAAGCCCTCAAACTTTTAGGGGGGACTAAGTCTAATCAAACCCACTCACCGATTTCCTCCTATGTCTATAGAACATTAGTTTCTTAAGTTTAATATTAATTCACTTATTTAACAACTACAACATAGTTCGCACATTATTATTTTACCATTTGTATTTACCTATTAAAAAGTTATCGTTTGCGAAGGAATATGAAACAAGATTTATATCCATAAGAAAATGTTGATTATTTTTAAATAATAAAAAGCGTATTGGTAGGTAACATAACAGATTAACGCTTTAACGCAATAAAACGGCAACAAACTTATAATAGGTATAACGTGTATTATATTGTCTCTTATTTACTACTTACAAGTATGATTGCTTGTATTAAATTAATTCATATGTTATTAAACATCAGCAATCAATTATAAAATCCTAATGTATATTTTAATAATGTTATTTTTAATATTTATTTGTTTACTACTCTATTAATTTTAATGCATTTTTCCCTCAAAAATACGATGTGTAATTTTCTCTACCGTAACGAGTAAGTGACTATTTACATACTATTTTATCAGTCATAACATAATTATGTGTTTAAAAACCTATAATAACATAATAATGAGCGAATTTAAATAAAAAATTATAATATTATTACGTTCTTCGATATTATGATTTTTTCATGAATGAAATACAATTGAATATTTTATTAAGATGCATCATGGTTGAATAATATAAGTATTTATTTAATATTATTTAATGCTTCTAGAATATAAACGATACTTTAATCAGAACTACTGGTTGGTTTTAGGTTTAACTATATTATACTATATATTATTAATTCATATTTTATTATGAATTCAACAATGTGAGGTAAAAAATAAAGCAAAAAAATCTTGAAAAACTGAGAATTATTCTTATGGTGTAATCATTTCTTTATACCAAAATAATAAAAACAAATAAATAGCTATTTATATATTTATACTTCAAATATTTTTTTAATAATTGGTTTTTGATTAAATAGACTCGTCATGACGAAACGTTTAAAAACAATTTAATTAATGTCGGTGGGTATTTCAATTTAAAAAATATATATTATGTGTCTCATATAGTAATATTTATTAAAAATCTTATTTTAATAGAACCATAAACTGCTGTTTCGAAGTTCGAACACAGCATATTATAACAATGTCATAAATAATATACTTTTATATTACCGATTTAAAGTAGGCAGTTTATGATGTGGTACTATAATATAATATGTAACATAGGTATAGCAACAACAACAACAACAGCATCGTAAATTCGTAATACATGTAACACTATTATTAAGGTGCTATAATTAGAAGAACGATTTTCGTATCACGCACTAATAAAGTCCGTAGGTATAAAACTATCGTTTATCCTAAAACGTGTTATGACATTATTATAATAACATTATTATGCGACAATTCGTCGAGATTAGAAAGTAGATTAGTGCGGAAAACGCTGGAGGGGGAGGGGGTCATCTCTACAGCGGAATTCCTAGTCGAACCGTGGTATAATGTTAGATCACACAATGCACACTACAAAAAGCCGAGCGTGCGAACGAACGGACATCAGTCCATCGCTGCGTTCACATAGGACGTACCTACCCGTTGCCGAGCAGTGAGTGAGTTTTCATAACGATGACGGTAATATTGTTGAGAATGACGTACGTCGTCGGGCTGTGCGCATTCGTCGCCAGTGGAGCGGAGCTGCAGACCAACAAGTTCGAGGAGAACGGTACGCTGACGACAACTGTGGCGACGACGGCGATGGCGGACGACGCCAAAGAACAAGGCAAGAGAGGCGTCTTCGACACCGGTTACGGTTACGGTGCCACCAGTTACAGTAACGTGGTACAAGGTGCACACTTCCAGCACGGTCACGAGCAGCGAGTCATCGCCAAAACGATCATCCAGGAAGTGGCCCAACCGTACCCAGTTGAGGTAGAGAAACGAATACCTTACCCGGTAAAGGTCGAGGTGCCCGTCGACCGCCCTTACCCGGTGCACGTGCCCAAGCCTTATCCGGTGCACGTGGATAAGCCTGTTCCATACGAGGTCAAAGTCAACGTGCCACAACCTTACACCGTCTACAAGCAAGTCCCGTATGAAGTCAAGTATCCAGTCGATAAGCCGTACACCGTGCACGTACCCCAACCGTACGCCGTTTACGTCGAGAAGCGCGTACCTTACGAAGTCGTCAAGCACGTCCCTTATCCCGTCAAGGTGTTCGTTGACAAGCCGTACACCGTCAAAGTGCCTGTTGACAAACACATCCCGTACACCGTCGAAAAGCCCGTGCCCTATCCAGTCAAAGTACCAGTGGACCGCCCGTACCAGGTGACTGTCGAGAAGCACGTGCCATATCCCGTCGATAAACCCGTGCCTTATACGGTCGAGAAACGAGTGCCGTATCCGGTCAGAGTTCCAGTCAAAGTCGAAGTCCCGGTACCTTACGTAGTAAAAGGCCACGAACAAAAGTTATTTTGGCCAACGCAAAGTAAAGAAAAAGTAGAACAACAGCAACAACAGTACGTACCTGAAGATCAATCTCAACTGCAACAATACAAACCAGAGGTACAGTCACAATCACAACAATACGAACCCGAAGAACAATCTCAACCACAACAGTATGTGCTTAAAGTACAGTCACAACCACAACAATACGGAGGCGATGAACAATCTCAACCACAACAGTATGAGCCTGAAGTGCAGTCACAACCACAACAATACGAATCCGAAGAACAGTCACAACCACAACAGCAGTATGTGCACGAAATAAAACCACAATATCAACAACAACAATATGAATCCGACGAACAGTCGCAACCACAACAACAGTATGTACAAGAACTAAAACCACATCAACAACAACAATACGAAGCCGAAGAACAGTCACAACCACAGGAGCAGTATGGACTCAAGCTAAAACCACATCAACAACAACAATATGAAGCCGAAGAACAGTCGCAACCACAGCAGAAATATGTGCAAGAACTAAAACCACAATATCAACAACAACAATATGAAAACGAAGAACAACTACAAAAACAAGATAATAGCGATGGACAAGCACAGCAGTCTGACGAACACTCGGCACAATCGCAGCAACAAGGCGAACAAGAGAAAAATGACTATTGATAACTTTTTAAATTATTTTTTATACTACCTAGTCATAAGTCATAATCATATTATATTTTTTTTGGTTAGGTTAGGTTTTGTGCCGCAGTTACCGAAACCAAATGTATTCGACCGTATGTACTTTCCTCGATTTATAACGAGTATTATGTAAATAGCTTTAATTAATAATCAAATAAAGACTTATTTTATATTAAAATCGGTTTTATTTCAACTTGATAATATTATTTATGTGAAAATATGTCATAATCCTCGGCGTTGATTTCTGAATATGTTCCTCCTTATTCCTGTCTATAACCGGAAGAGAACATTTTATCTAAAAGTTTATTTTAAAACTAAAATCAGTTTTACACAAATTGTTTAACTTGATGAGTTCTAGTAATATTCGAACGTTTTGATCTTTTTCGACAAAATATTGTTATGCATTTGTGCACATATATAGTTTTGAGCAAAATATTTGAAACAATATCAGATATTGAAAATTAATTAATCATAAATAAATCATACAAATATGATTTAATAAATATATTATAATTGAAAATAATTATTTATTTATAAAAATTGTTTTATTTAAATAATTTAAGCAACGCATATTGTGATTTCCCTATGTAAATAAAATGCATTATTGATAGGTAGTATGAAATCAATCAGCATAATATTTAAGTAAAAAACAATATTTAAAAATTGTTACTCTCAATATGAAATATCAATAAATCATCCTTAATATTTATAATATGATCCTTACAAATTATAAATTAAAATATAATTACTAATAGATTTATTATAAATGTATAGTTTCTTAATTTAATACTGTCTATCAGTACAAATAATAATAACAATAGTTTTATCTAAGTGGTAGTGATATAACTATATAGGGAATGATCACAATAATTAATTGCTTTTTTGCCAGATGTCCACTTTAATTACAGATTACAATTATATAATGAGTGCGTAATATTTGTTTCATTATTTTTTTTTCATTTACATCATGTATTTCGGTGATTAAAAATCATTCGTGTAATCGTGTGAATAGGTAATAAATAATTAAAATATTAATGGTAATTTCGAGAGCATTAAAAACTTCTAGAAAAAGTTCATAGGTAGAAAAATATTTAAAATAATTTTATCTTTCTTTTACTATTTCATACACTTGTTATACAACACGCGCATTATGCATACCAATATACGCTTTACTTATTTTGATGTATGCAGTTATATGCACTGACCGTAGCAAATTAAACTGTAATGTCATATTGAGTAATTTAAAAACAGCATTATGTGCAGATAATGCTAATAGAATACCGTTGGTAATTTATTGTTCAGAAATACACATTATGATTCCGAACATTATTATCAACCTAATTACTATATAAATTACATTTGAAAACATGAAATAAAACCAAATGAAAAAAAAAACGAAAGAAAAATTGAATTGTTAAAAAATGAAATGTGATTGTTGATGAACACACTCTTCCCAAGTCATCAATTATCCTCATGAATATTTTTGATACATATAATCTTAACACGGGCGCAACAATGCATTGAATCTTCTCCCGGATTTTCAAAAGATAATACGACATTTTTAAACAATAAAAATAATTAATTTATATTCAATTTAAAGAAAAAAGTTGGACAACTTCCTATACAGATTCAATGAAGTATAACAAACATCCAAACAACTAGTTAGTCAGGTTAATATTATAATACTGCCCTTCGTCAAACATCATATTACGCTATGGCCTGGCTCATGGTTCTTAATTTTAAGACTAGCAATTTCAGATTGGGATATCAATATCATACATTATCTTCAGTACAAAATATATTTACGACTACCGAAATAGTTCAAAAATACTAACCAGATTGCTAAAACAAGGAGTTCAGTGAAAAAAAAGCATTAAAAGTAAGTTTATATAAAGTAAAAAAACAGTATTTATTATAAAATATCCAAAATTATATGAGTTTCATGTACAGAGTATATTACAATCGTTAAATCGAATAAAGGTTTAAGTTACAAGTATACAAAGTTTTTACAAAAAATATAGCTGTTATCCATGTTAATAACTGTGGCTTCCGTGTTCGCTGAAGGAGTGTCCACCGTAAGAGTGTTCTTCGTGGTGGTGAGGCACTTTATATGGAACAGGGACTTCGACTTTGACTGGGAACTTGACAGGGTACGGCACTGCTTTCTCAACCGTGTACGGCACTGGTTTGTCGACGGGATACGGCACGTGCTTCTCGACTGTCACCGGATACGGGCGGTCCACTGGCACTTTGACTGGGTAGGGCACTGGCTTCTCGACTGTGTACGGTACGTGTTTCGTCACCGGTACGTGTACGGTATACGGTTTGTCGACGGGTACCTTGACTTCATATGGTACGTGCTTGGTGACCTCGTATGGGACGCGCTTCTCCACGTAAACGGTGTAAGGCTTGGGTACGTGGACGGTGTACGGTTTGTCGACGGGTACCTTGACTTCATAAGGGACGTGTTTGTAGACGGTGTACGGTTGCGGTACCTTAACTTTGACCTCGTACGGTACGGGCTTGTCGACGTGCACTGGATAAGGCTTGGGCACGTGCACCGGGTAAGGGCGGTCGACGGGTACTTCTACCTTTACCGGGTACGGTACGTGTTTCTCGACCTCGACCGGGTACGGTTGGGCGACCTCCTTGATGACGGTCTTGGACAGCACTTGTGGTTCGTGGTGGAAGTCGTGACCGCTGCTCAGCTCGTGGCCAAAACCACCGGATCCGTATCCATAGCCGGTGTCGAAAATGCCTCTCTTGCCTTGGCTTTTGCTATCATCTGACGCAGATTTCTTCTCGTCCTGCGCTTCCGTCGCCAGAGCGAATGCGCACAACCCGACCACGGACGCTACGAGCAGTATCCTCTTCATATTGTTATTCGTATTGAACAGAACAATCGACTGATGTCCGATCGTCTGCTTGCTCGGCTTTTGTAGTGACCGCTGTGTCTTGCACCGATGAAGTCCAGTGCGTCGCCCCCACTCACTCGAAGTTCGACAGTGGATAGGTACACTGCATGCGCCTACTTTCTATTGTTGTCCATCGTCTACCTACTGTTTATTTTTTACGCGTTACCATCAATTTTGTACCATTTCATAATACCGTGTGTAAGACAATTTAATTGAAACATCTATTTGGTATTGAACGGTTGTCGAATATATTATATTATGGTGTTATTATATTATATTGTTTTTTAACATTACGCACACTCTATTATTATTATGTAAAAGATAAATATAAAGATTTATTTTACCCGTAATTCTTTATAATAATGTAAATTAAACCACAATAATTATTGGGCACTTTTACGATTTTTATCGATTTATTGCAGGCAAATCGTCGCTCACCTGTATAATTTTCAGTATGGATATATTATATACTAAATCATAATAATTTACAATAAACGTTTTTACGATTTCAAAACATTATTATGTTGTCCGTATTCATATTAATATAATTTTGTAGTTATGTAATTCTTAGAAAATAATATATTTAAAAATGTATATTTTACAATTTTATCTGTCACGTAATTTATATTTTATGTCGCGATCGACAAGTTTAATTTCAAAACTCGTGATGTTAAAAGTCTATATAAATGTATGATAAATCTCTGTGGAAGTGTAGAGCATAAACACTTGTAACTACGTAACTTTTTTTGACTTACGTAATTAGACGTTTGGCTAAGGTTAATAATAATGATAAGAAAAGGTAGCTAGGACAAAACACCCTGTTTTCTGTTACACAACTTATTTGCATACTTTGACAAAAGAAATAGTTATCGATGTTTAATCACTGTGGTACTGTACTCACATAGAATTTAAAACAAGCCAATGAAAGTGTTTTCATTGTTAAACAATGTTACTGATACCTATGCATTTAATAATTGATGTAAAAAATCAAAATTCTATGCTACCCTTTTTACTGGTCAAACTGGATTAATTTCTTTTTTTTTGAAGTTATCATGACGTCAAATGTATTGTCTGTTGATTTATCAATCAATGAGTGAGGTGCGAAGGTAGCATAATGACATGAAACACTGTCTAACATATTACGGTGTTTAACCTTAAATTGTATTTACCTACTTTGATCTATTATATTGTATTAATAGTAATTTATAGACGCATGGTATGCCATTTCACATTTTATTTTGTTTGAATTAACAATTAGTGTCTCTTAACTAAATGTTTTCTGATTACTTTACTAAATTCATAATATTATTTAAAAACACAATTTCGATTATGACGTGACATGCCGAAGTAGTCTAGTTTCAAAACTATGGTCACCTAGGTCATCGGTAAATAAAAATATATTATACTTAAATTTGATTAAAAAGGAGTTATAATTATATTGTACTTGGTACAACTTCGTGTCTTGTAAAAATTAACACCAAAATATTTTCAAATCCCCTCCGTTTAGTACTCATTATACGTCATATGGTCACGTTCGTCATAAACGTCGACCACGTAACTGTAGAATTTTGATTTAAACGAACAGAAATGATTTAACTTAGATATTATAAGTTTCAATAAAAGATATACAAACAAAATTAAAAACTAAGCTTCTCATCTCTCAACATCCTTATACAAGTACACCTTAATTGGGTTAATATAGTGTATTTTATGAATTCAATTTAATTTTTCGTTGATTTTGTAACGATTTACAGAATACTGACATTTCTGTCGCACTCGACGATTTCGCTTAGGTAAACAGAACACAGGAACGTACAGCACGATAATATAATATCATTGGCATAGAGCCAACCAGACGAGTTCGAATCGTATAGTAGAGACAGTCATCTTTACATTTTTAAGTAACAATATTAGTTTGATTTACTATATGTATAATAAGTAATAACCTACCTTATAAATAAATCATAATGATTCAATTTATTTCGACTCGTACTCTGCTACTCCTGTGATCTTCAATATATTACTCTTAAGAACAGTATAATATTATTACTATTCAAACATTTAATAAACCTTGCATGCGTTCCTATATCGTGTTCAATTTTCTATGAACGCAGGTCATAAGTTTCTAAGACCTGCAAAATATAACTTAGAAAACTTAATTTGTATCGATTCAAAAGCCCGGTTCTCGAGGTCGGTTCGTATAGTAGAAATAGCTAACAAACTAATCCTTAACTGGACATAATTAGGTATAAATATCGACAGCCACTTGGTTTAAATAAACGATATAGCCGTGTTGCAATTTATTCATACAATATTAATTAATAAGACATAAGCCTCGTTTTCTCATTATTTAATTAATTTATAATGAAAAAAAATTATAGTAAAATAGTCTAATAAGAATAGCATTTTAACATTATTCTTACTTAATAATATCGGCACAACACTATACAGCGGTGTAGTGGAGAGTAGATATTCAGGGTTAGGTTATGTGCTTTGTATTATAGGAATAAAATAAATACGTTATTATACAGTCGTGTACACAATATAGTCCGGTACACGGATAATCATGACTGAAGTGTAGTAATATAATATTAATGTTGCTTATGAAATGCGTAAATGGTTTAATATTGATACAATTTAGAACAAATGTCTGATTTTCAGAAATTATTGTGTTAATCGATTGATAAATGACGATCTTCAAAATCAACAAAACATACAAAAAAAAATATTAACATGTTATAAAGTCCCGCTTCCCTCTTTCAAATACTACAAATGAATTATCAGTTTTTGAATTTGACCTTATAAATAATGTATTATTATTAAAACACACTTTTAACAATAGTTAGTTTAATATAGCATCGAAAAGTTTAATGAAAATGATTGTAAAATTCAATAAATACAATATATATAAATAAATAACGAACATACACATAAATTGACCAGCACTTGATCGACAGACTAACCTCAATTATCTAATTCAGTAAGCGAAAAGCTAGTTACTGGTTATTAAATAACTACAGATCAACTGATAACGTAGGTAAGAACAATAAAACCTAAAATAAATTGGAATCTTCAAATAAATGCAGTTTATGGAAAATAATGTAAAATAATGTACTAAATTAATCGTTGCTTAGGTACATTATTATTATAATATTGATTTAGATACAAAAATAAAAAAATAATAATAAATTCAAAAATGTTTAATAAAGTAATAGGATTTTTTGGATAGTTGTCATTTATTTTTAATTTATTAGAAGAGGTGAGGACTAGGGAAAAAATCCCCCACATCACGTACAGACATATAGTTAATGACTTAGCGTATACCCAAGAATATATTTATGAATATTGACTATACGCCACTGATAATATTATTGTATAGTATATTTTATTATCAATATTATTTTAAATTGCAATATCGTATAGGTATGTACAAATTATTTATTACCAATATCGTAATTAATATGCAATTATTGATATAGCTAAAATTATGATTTATGAGCGATGTTACAACTTATTGCTACTTACACTCACAGACACTATACACAACAGTTTTATCGTGAATGTCACATACAACAATATGTACGTGGGGTTTAGAGCAATGTTTTTTTTTTTTAAACACAGATATGGGAAAATATTTTAAAACAAGTCTTTATTTTAAGTACATATTATTATTTGTATATTATTATATTACAATATATAAGCATAGGTCACATGACTTTGGTGACAAAAAACAGTCAGCACAAGATATGTAAAATATTATTATAAGTATATTATATGACATTATGACTAGCAAAAAAAAGACATTATAATATCTATCAATAACTGTCGTACTCGGATTGTTCGAATTGTGGTTGTGGCACTCCGTATTGGGTCTCTGATGAGTATTTGTCTTCATTTTCGTGTTCTTTGTAAGGCACTGGCACTTCGACCTTTACAGGAAATTTGACCAGATAAGGTACTGGTTTCTCGACGGTGTACGGCACAGGTTTGTCGACGGGGTACGGGACGTGCTTCTCGACGGTCACCTTGTAAGGGCGGTCGACTGGAACTTTGACCTCATAGGGCACCTTCTTCTCGACGGTGTATGGTACGTGTTTCGTTATTGGTACGTGGACGGTATACGGTTTGTCGACGAACACTTTTACGGTGTAAGGAACGTGCTTGGTGACTTCGTATGGGACGCGCTTCTCCACGTAAACGGTGTAAGGCTTGGGTACGTGGACGGTGTACGGTTTGTCGACGGGTACCTTGACTTCATAAGGGACGTGTTTGTAGACGGTGTATGGTTGCGGTACCTTAACTTTGACCTCGTACGGTACGGGCTTGTCGACGTGCACTGGATAAGGCTTGGGCACGTGCACCGGGTAAGGGCGGTCGACGGGTACTTCTACCTTTACCGGGTACGGTACGTGTTTCTCGACCTCGACCGGGTACGGTTGGGCCACCTCCTTAATGATGGTTTTGGACAGTACCTTTTCGTGTCCGTGATGTTCGTCACCCACTTCATAACCATAACTGGTGCCGTAAATGCCCCTCTTGTCGTGGTTTTTCCCGTCGTCAGAAGTCGTTTTCTTCTCGTCCGCCAGTTTTCCGCCAAAAGCGAAAGCGCTGCAGCACAGCCCGAAAACACACACTGCCAATGAAATCCTCGTCATTGTTGTTCGATTAGAATGAAACGATCGACTGATGACTGCTTAGTCAGTGCACTCAGCTTTTGTAGAGAACCATATTATGTGATGTTCAACGAGGAAGCTTCATCCGTGTCTTCCCACCTTACCCTTCTCCGGTGATATATTATTATACTTTCTATTCAACATTATCGTCGTTTGTGATTATCAGACCATATTAACTATTATAATGTTTTATTTATCACATTTCATAATATTTGTTTTAAGGAAATAATGTAAAAACAACAAATTGTTATTCTGAAAATCGTAAATTGGTTTTAGTTTTTTATGTACTTACTTTAATATAATCTTCCCTATCGTCGCAGACTTAATTAAATATAAAATTATATTTTATTAGATAATAAAATGTTAAATCAGGTCACTGGGAATGAACAAATTTGTTTTGTTTTACATATTTTAGTACTTATTGAATAATCAATAACCTAGATTTCATAATTTTTACTGTCAGTACATATATTAAAACATATTTCATACAACTTAGTTTACCAATTATATGTTCTATGTTCTATGGTCTATGGATTACAAAAGTTACTTACGGTTTGAAGTGTAAATTTAAAAAGTCTAATTTTTATTGGACATAATTTATTTAAATTTATCATTTAGGAAATTATGATAATTAGATTTAACCAATCTGACTGATTCATTTAGTCGAATTTTTATGGAAATAAAATAAGACTCAAAAATTATATATAATATATAGTATATACCTAGTTATCTTTTACGTTTTATAAAAACGTAAAATTATTAGTGAAAATGTATGAAGTTTGTATTAACCATATTATAGTAGGTATGCAAAACTTTAAGTCTATACCTATACAATATTCAATTTCATAAATATTTTAATAACTAATTATAGTAATTGCATAAAAAAAAACTCAGACAAATTGATTTAAAAAATGCTTTTAACAAATATTAAAATAAGGAATGTACAACAAATTAGAAAATTATACGGGGAGCAAAACAATATCTCTAACGCTGCCTTTCTGGGTATCATAATGACCAAACAATAAGTTTCCATATGTATTTGTGTTATTTGTTTCATCAACAATATAGCTCTATTTTAGTATAAGTATATCCAGAAAAACATACAATTTTGAATCTTTCCACCCACATTTTAATGAACAATTCTATATATCACATCCAAATTATTTATATACATGTGTGTAACACAACTTTAATGAACTACAACTACTAACGTAATTAAAATTCCAATTATTGAACTTCAATCTGAAAATTAAGTCAAACCATTTTTGAGGGTATCTGAGAACCGCCCTCCTTGTCGTGGCCTAAACTCTAAACAGTTCTCAAAACAATAATTCAGACAGACGTAGGTACAAAAACATTTGGCGGAAAATTATGACCGCCCGTTTTATTTCAGTACGTTTTACAAAATCTTTTTTTTACTATTTAGTTTTGTGGGACCACAACATGGGGGCTGATTTGTTTGCACACTTTTTGCCCCCAAACGCTTTACAAAGTCTAAAATCGAATATTATCACTATTATTATTCTATACTCTCGCGCCCGTTTGGCAAAATAAAATTTTGGCCCTAAACTACCGTTCACTTAATGTGTACCTTCTATAAACTGACATCAAAATGAAGGATTTATATATTATTACGACTATCATACCTAAAGTGATTATCCACTCAACATTATTATTGCATGTTGCTTGTATGTATTTAGGCTTATTGCTAATATTTTTATTAATGTGATGTATATCATCACAGATTATATTCATTTCATTATGAAAACAATTCTTAAGCTTGAGGACTCAAATGTGGTATTATTTGTACGGCTAATAGTAAGCCATTTATGGTTATTAACCTCGTAAACATATATACCTAATTTGTTCAAACATAGTTTATATAATGTACGCATAATTTAGACGCATATCAATTTATATCCAACGACTATAACGACTTGGTTTTTTTTATACATATTTTACGTAATCTTGATCCCATGGACAATAGATGGTCTCAGACATATTGTATAATAGTATAGACTCTACTAAGTAGAGTTAACAATCCTCAAAAAAGAAAAAAATGTACAAACTTAAATATAATTATTATTTTATAATAACAAGTGTGACAAATATACTATTGAGAGTGATCTCAACTGAAACATAATGGAAACATCAAATCTAAAACGCTTGTACCACTATGTTTATAATAAATATTATTTTTACAAAAAAAAGTAAAAGGGAATAAATTAACTATATTTATGTCTAATAAAAATAAAATATAGTTAAAATATCCAACGTTTACCACTATTAAAATAATGATATACACAAGAATTTTATAATATCATATATTTTATGATTTTATTTATTTCTATTAATAATTACGTAGCTAATAAATTATACCAATATACCGTTAATTTTACCTAGTACCTAATACCTGTAAAACACTGTTTCTTTTATAAATGTAATTTTATTTATTTTTATTCATAGTTAATAGTTATATAGGTATGTCTTTTTGAACTAAGACTAATTTTTAAAGGAATAAATCATCTGAACTCATCAATATTTTTGATGGAAATGATGTTACAGATACAATGGGTTATAGATATTTTAAATTTTTATGACGATTATGCCAAATAAAAACACAAAAATATTATAAAAAAAGTCTGTATTTAAATTCTTCACCTATACACAGTATATAATAATAATATATGATACTCGTGCTTAATAAACATATCTTAATGTTAGAGATATAATAAATGACTTGGGTTACAATGTATTCAATCAGAAATGTAACATGAGTTATGACTAGAAAAATATGACACGTTTATCAATAACTGCCGTGTTCGTTTTGATCGTTGACATATTGCGGTTGTTCTTCGTTTTTTGTCTCCGGAGAGTATTCTTCTTCGTGTTCGTTTTCTTTGTACGGCACTGGCACTTCGACTTTGACGGGAAATTTGACGGGATAAGGCACAGGTTTCTCGACGGTGTACGGTACGGGCTTGTCAACGGCGTACGGGACGTGCTTCTCGACGGTAACGTGGTAAGGACGGTCCACTGGCACTTTGACCGGGTAGGGCACCGGCTTCTCGACTGTGTAAGGCACGTGTTTCGTTACCGGTACGTGTACGGTATAAGGTTTGTCGACGTACACGTTGACAGGGTAAGGGACGTGTTTGGTGACTTCATATGGGACTCGCTTCTCCACGTAAACAGCGTACGGTTTAGGCACGTGGATGGTGTACGGCTTGTCGACCGGGTACTTGACTTCGTACGGGACTTGCTTGTAGACGGTGTACGGTTGCGGCACGTTGACTTTAACCTCGTACGGGACTGGCTTTTCCACGTGGACCGCATACGGCTTGGGCACGTGCACCGGGTAAGGGCGGTCGACGGGCACTTCGACCTTCACCGGGTACGGTACGCGTTTCTCGACTTCGACCGGGTACGGTTGGGCCACCTCCTTGATAACGGTTTTGGACAGCACTCGCGGTTCGTGGTGGAAGTCATCGTGACTACGGTACTCTTGGTATGTCTGGTAATTACCGACCGGCTCGTGCAAATCGAAACCCGAACCGTCTCCATAGCCGGTGTCGAAGATGCCTCTCTTTTCGTGATTCTTGGTATCTTCAGATACATTTGCTTCGGGCAGGTCGGCACCCATCGCGAATGCGCACCACCCAATAGCGCACGCCATATGTAAAATCGTCTTCATTGTCGTTCGATTTGAATGAAATGCATTCGACTGATGTCCGTTGGTCCGCGCGCTATGCTTTTGTAGCGACTCGCGTGTGTCCACCTAGGAAGTCGTCTTCGCCGAACCACTACATCCCCACCACCTATCGCATTCCACTTATGCACTTTCTACCGAAGATCATCGTTGTTGACCGTTTTTTTTTTATGGTGGACAATATTATTACTAACCGTTATTAAATCACTTCGCTGTATGCTGTACAAGGAAATGGAATAAAACGAGACTTTTTTTTTATTGCATGCAGGTATGTAACGTCTTCTATAACATTATAATATCCCAAGCTGTTTCAACCTCAATGTCATGTAATATTTATTTATAGAACTGTTTATTATTTATTAATACTAGTTAAATGTAACCGATTAATAAATTCTGCCACCAATGACATTGTTATTATGTTGAATGTCCATGAATATTACAATATATTATGCCTACGCGTACGTACTGTATTAGATATGATGATGTATTCTAGTTAGAATTTATGTGCTACTTTTATTTTTATTTTCATATTTTCATTGAAAATCAGTATGCAAATGACTTGATAATCTGATTAATTATTTTTGACATTTGTTTATTACGATGTTATTATTATCCAACGAAAGGTGATTAAATTAAGTGTTTATAATTTATTCATTGTATAAAGTATAATATGTATATTTACGATAATATGATATAGGTAATTATAATTTGTTTTGACTTTATAGTTCATAACTAATAAATAAATTGAAAAATTGTATCTTCTTTTGTACCTATAACTGTATAAATAATTGAAATAATAATTATTGCAATTTTTATTCCAGTATAATGAAATAACAAATATAGTTGATAAACATTAAGTGATAATAAATCCACCCAGATAAACAGATGACTGTGTTGTATAATATACTTATCTGACTGAAGTGTAATATTTCATGTACTCATTAAATTATTTAAATAAGGTTTTCAAAAAAAAAATAAATTGTTTATAATAACCAAACATATAATTGTTCAAACATAGAAATTGAAGTTATCGGGAAATAGTTCTATAACACATTTTATGTTCTAACTAAGATTGGGAATATCGAATTAAAGTTTTTCAAAATACCTATGTATGTGAATATTATAATTTAAACTTCCATAAAGTTTTTTAATATAAATACAGCCACATCCAATCGTGAAAAACAGAGGAACATACGCAAAACAGTACGTACATAGGTATAAGTAATAATATTGTATCAATATCATTATTAAAAAAAAATGCTAAAATTTGTGAAATATTATTTTTTTTAGACATAACAAAGAATATAACATCGAAGTATGCAAAGTCAAACTTTGTACTTAATTTTAGCATTTTACAAATCAAATGTTTATCATTCCTAGTATATTTTACAACCAACACAAATATGCTGCTAAATGTCTTGAACCCTGGTTCTAACAATCTTGTTTTAGATCAATCAGTTATCATTTTATAACAAATAATAAATTATGTACCTATATGAAAGTTTGGTAAAAAGGTTGTAATCCGATAACATATGCTTGTGTTACAAAATAAAAATTATTTATTCCTAATAATCGTTTGCAAATTTTCACAATTTACGATAACGATTTATTTGTATACCATTTATTACATACAAGGTGGGCAAATATTTTTCTAAAATAAAACTCACTTAGACGTTTAATATTATATTATGAATCATAATGCAGTGAATTGTAATGTAAGTTCACTAAATTCAACTACGCTTGAATACTTATTTCGTGTACCGAGATTCCTCTTGTCCAACTGATTTTTTTTCTAAAAATGTACCTAAGTCAATAATAATATGAAACCATTTGTATTATATCAGAGTATTTTTAAATAACGTATTTTAAACCGTATGTAATCTGATTTGAGTGTAGTAATACAATACGAAGTCGCAATGTCGATAAAAACAAAGAGTTCTACATTTTCATTGAGTATATGCACGCTACGTTGAAAACACAAGTTATATCATATAGGTATAAGATACCTACTATGCGTGTATTTGTAACAGTCACCTACGCTGTAATAATACTGAGCAATACTTAAGTTACGTTTACTTTTCAAGGTTCAAATAGGCGTATGAAGATTACATGGGAGCCATTCTAATAGCATTGGAAAGTATGTAGAGCTCGCCTCCCCCCGCCATGGTGGGGGAGATGAAAATGACTTCCATTATGGGTGTTCGGGACACTACAAAAACAGATGAATCCAGCAGAATAGCATCAGTCGATCGATCCGATCCAAAGTCCAACGACAATATGAGAGGAGTCTTCAACATAGTGTGCGTGTTCGGTCTGTGCGCCTACGCATTGGCGTCGGAAAACGCTGCAGAAAAATCAGCTGACAAAGCTGCCACCACTGCAGCAACCACCGAAGACAGTAAAAGCCAAGGCAAGAGAGGCATTTTCGACACCGGCTATGGATACGGCTCCGGCGGTTTCGGCCACGAGCTGAGCAGCGGTCACAGCTTCCACCACGAACCACAATTACTGTCCAAGACCGTCATCAAGGAGGTCGCCCAACCGTACCCGGTCGAGGTCGAGAAACACGTACCGTACCCGGTAAAGGTAGAAGTACCCGTTGACCGCCCTTACCCGGTGCATGTGCCCAAGCCTTATCCAGTGCACGTCGACAAGCCCGTACCGTACGAGGTCAAAGTTAAGGTACCGCAACCGTACACCGTCTACAAACACGTCCCTTATGAAGTCAAGGTACCCGTCGACAAACCGTACACCGTCCACGTTCCCAAGCCTTACACCGTTTACGTGGAGAAGCGCGTCCCATACGAGGTCACCAAGCACGTACCATATGAAGTCAAGGTACCAGTCGACAAGCCTTACACCGTTCACGTACCAGTCGAGAAACACGTTCCTTACACTGTAGAAAAGCACGTGCCCTACCCTGTCAAAGTGCCAGTGGACCGCCCGTACCCGGTGACAGTCGAGAAGCACGTTCCGTATCCCGTCGACAAACCAGTGCCGTACACGGTCGAGAAAGCAGTACCGTACCCTGTCAAGTTCCCAGTCAAAGTCGAAGTCCCTGTGCCATACGAAGTGCCACACCACCACCATTACGATGAACACTCATACAGCGAACACTCGTTCGGCGAACACGGAAGCCACAGCTATTAACAATGTCTCAACAAGTATCAACGAGGATCCGAGTTGTCATTTTGTAAAATGTAATATAATAATATAACGCAAACGGATTGATTTAACCATTGTACCTGTCCATGTCTACGTGTGTATATAATAATATATTATTATGTATATATTTCGTAGAATAAAAACTATTTTTTTTTTTACCTTATTCGATTTTTCGTTTTATTTTTTTCTTTACAATACAGTAACTTCATAGTGTTACGAAGTACCGTTCATAATAACGATTCTATATTCTATCATTAAAAACTGATTTTCCAGAAGGTATGTTCATATACATCCCTAACATGTGACTATGTGAGTATTGAAAAACGGTCATCAAAGCGTTTAACAACACTTCAAATGTCTCAGATGTCTTAACTGCAGGTATAAGAATATGATGGGTGGGTATGTTATTAACGCCGCTTTGGATTCAATAACTGATTGTACACTTCTTACTGACGATTCAAACTTAAAATAAATTACAATTATTAATGGTCAAATAATTTTTAAAAAAACTCACAGAAAATAAATTATACGCGTGTTGTTTGAAAAACGAAACGTGAAGTCGATAATGAACCACGCAATTTAGTAGTAGCTCATGAGTTATGACATTAGTATTAGTACAAACGCATTTTTTGTCACTTATACGATTTATAATGGCAACCAACACTCGAGGAAGTCATTTTATATATTATATTATGCTCAGCCGGCGAGTTTCTTATAACACGACAAACCCGTCAGGATTCATTTTCATTTATTTTATTAATATTGGTAAATATATTTGACATAATATTATTATGGGCGAACGAAATGTCGTAGTATAATAATATTATTATTATTATTATTATTATGTTAATATGCACCAACGGTTTGTATTTTTTCTGTACGATTTGTTTACAACACACGCGTGGTGTTCTCTATACAGCCAGAGTTCCAGCCGGTTATTCGCATTCATATAGAATTGGATATACTGCGGCAAACGTCACGTACCAAAGTGTAAGCAATTCGTCTCCCAAGACGTGTCATCCGGAATGGGAAAAATAAATAATAATAACTAAAGAAGACATTCCGCCCGCAGCAATCGAAACTCGTCGGTATTAGTTGCGTACGAGGGCCGTGGTGACTACTCGTCCCTTAAACGGCGGCTTGCCGAAACGGAAACGGCACCGAACAAGTCGTGTGGAGTACGTACATCATAATGATAGTAATAATAATATATTATTGCATTTTATTATCATGTTAAATTCGGTTTAACTATGGTGCAGTGCGTACATAATATGGTATAATCGCGCGTGTATTATGTCGCAATGCGTATAATATATAATACAAAATAATAACAATTAGTAATTACCGAACGAATTAATCCGGAGTGTTTCGACATTTTTTTTCTCGACGTCGGACACAATACACATTTTAGGAAGGTACATGCTCAAAGCAATAATAATATGTAATAATACGCATTATAATACCCACTGTTGCAGCAGCGTAATACTTTATATGTTATACATTTATAACGCCACCTCGTCCGATGATAATCTCGCGAGCACTGCTCCGCGATTATATAACGCCGGCTGTGTACACGAAATAATAAGAAAATAATAATATATTCGCGATGTGTGTGTGTAAGAGAACAAAGCGGAATATAATGATATACGGCTGACGACTTGGCAGCAGCTATAGGCAAGTGGGTACCTACCTACATATAGGTATTATAATAATATGCATGCACCGAGCGTGTGTGTTCACTCTATATGTGCACCGGTGCAGCGGCAGTGGAGCAGTGACCGCCGTTGACCGGTTCCGCTCTACTTGGCGCTCGCGATGCCATCACGGATAGTCTTTGCCGCTTTCGGAGACTCGAGCGGGCGAGACGGACGATGTGGGCATATGACAGCAGCTATAGCAGCGGACAATTCTTCATAAGGAATAGGTAGTAAAGACAAATATAATGCGTACCTACAGTAGCTGGGGGGGGGGGGGGTATTCAAAAAGATTAGCATCCGATTTCAAATGCACAAGTTTTTAGGTTTTGAGCAATGGCATAATATATTGTATAATAAGTGTATAGATTATAGAGGTGTGAATCAGGTACGATGTATTGTTTCAATAAAAGAATTATATTTAAAGTGGTAGAGTAGTTTTAATGATGGTAGATACAATGATATTAAAACTAGTTCACGAGAACTACCATATGATTTAAAATTTAGAAATTACCTAAATAACAGATTTTTAACATTCAAAATTATCGCAACATGTATTGAAAAAATGTTTTATTAATTTCCTTCATTTCTCTTCTCCGCTTTAAATCTATTTGCAGGTTTGTTCCTTTTTCCGGAATTTAAATTGATCTCACTGCAGTTTGACTGAAAGTATGTACAGCTCATTTATACAGATCGTAATAGAATATTATACATTTCACCCACGTTATAATATGCAAACTTTTTCGTGATTTTCGGTAGTCACCGTTAAAAGAAAATGTCTAAAACTTTGTAAGTCCATATACTTCGTGCTAGTGGTAGCAGGTATATTAAACCAACGTACGAAAGTGTTCACTCAATCATACCCATGCGACCGGATCTAACCGGGCCACGTCCAGGTTATAGGTAAATGGAATTCGGTAATTCCCTCCAGCCAAAGTAACCCCTTGGAAATTCTTTAGGTGAAAACTCGAAATATTCGAAAAGGGTTTGTGGGATTTAAAATACTAAACAGCAACGTACGGTATTACATATACCTACGCATGCAGACCACCACGAGGTCCATTGTGTGTGTTTACTTGTATAAAGGCCTTGATGGTGGACGCATATATTTAAATAGGTATACAATGTATATTATGTACTATACATAATATGTAAAATAGTGGTTTTGTAAGTCAAAATTTAAATCACACTTATAAAATATAGTTTTTACGTCTTCTAGCTGCTGACCAAGAGGAATTAGATCACGACCGGCTACCGAAACTTTGTAAATATGACTAGAAATATTATAATAAGTCAGACACTAGAACAGATTTTATCTATACGTTCATTGTTATGAACGAGCGATAGTTATTTTTTAATGTCGACTACACAAACATTATATCACGGCCATCACTTCGATAATTCTATTTAAATCACATTTAGGCAGTCGAGAGTCGAGACCTTTTAGGTATGGCTCAAGGGGTAGGTGTAAATTTTAAAAAAACTCGTGTAATAACATTAATAAATGTACAGCACAGTAAAATACGAGAGAGGCGCTTGGGATGATATTATAAAAAAATAACAACAATCAGGTATTGAAATTAACTTAGAAAAAAACAGATGAATACGTTTTATTGATTACCTGAGTGATTATATAGGTAATACTATTATATCATATGATCACAACAGACATTAAGATAATCAAACAACTGTGTTGTACATGTACCTTTTAAAATATGTATAGAAAAAATTTGTTGAACCGTTTAAAAATTTCGTAGGAAATTTAAACACAACAATCAGTTTTTCTATTGTTTTTCCAGTAATATTGTTGTATTAATAAGGCCGATCGAAACACGAATATAGGACAGTTATCGGGCTGCATTTTTCTTTTTAAATTGACCTGGGAGGGTTTGCGGGATAGCTTCGGCTTTTCTTGTGCACACCGTCCTATATTACAATATATTACGACTTGTCTGTTGGAACGATCCACCGGTCGTCGCATTTGAATATCCAACCACCGATTCACGTAGATTTTTGGTGTGGCTTGCTGCGCCTTTTTATATTCTCAAAGACATGACTGAAACGATAATTATGCTGTCATCGATGTTATTATATTACGGTCAGCTGTACAGAACGACGTAGGAAAATATAATTAATATGTACGCGAGACAGCAGCAGACCGGGACGAATCCGTTTGCGTGGTGGTGGACGAGACGCGTCTGGACATCGAGATTCTAAATCTACAATATAATATTATAATAATATTATCATGCTTGTTAGTTGTTATCGTGTCATGCGCGCTCACATCAAATTGCGAAAGGCAAAAAAAAATACCTAAAAAATTATAAATTCTTTGCCCGCGTTTACAGTGGATGGTCAAGTGTGTTTCGCGGACTCAGCGACCGCGTCCAAACGCCGTCGCAGAGTCTTGTAGTGAGCGCCCGAGATTTCAGACGAGATAATTATTATTATTATTTTGTTTTTAACAAGAATTTATTATAAGTACGCATAGACGTTGTTATTATTTTAATTATTACTATTATTATTACTATTATCAACGTCGTCATAACAAAATATGGTATTAGGCGCATGTAGTTGGTACATAGTGTTATGCGCTCGCGTTTTATTTCGGACGATTCTCGCTATTCTAGATGCGCGTGACATGCGCAATTTTTTGTGACAAGCTAATCAGTCATGAAAGATTTCGTCTCGTAGCTTCGTCGTTCCGGTTGGGACAAAACAAAACCCCGTGAAACACGACATTAATCAGAAGTACGCCGAGTTAGCACTACAAAGTACAGAACCGACAACATTCCAAAAAATTCTATGCTTGGAGATTTGTTGGACATTGTTAGACATTTTTTGGAATTTTATAAACATTTTTGAAAAAATGATTTATATCTACTCACAACCAACAAGACACTGTACAATTGAAACGAAATTTTAAATACATTATTCAACAATGCGAATTCAGTGTTGTTGGCCATTGTTGGGAATTTGTTAGACAATATAAAAGCTCTACAATACAAACAAAATGTAGAGTTGGAAACGATTAAATTATACAAAATAAGCGTGAACACCCGACTCCTTTTTCAACAAACCTACAACTGAGTCCATCGAAAGAGAAATAATCAGTTCTTATACCATGTTTATGCTATGAGAACTGATTTTTTTGATATTAACAAATCATTTAACATTTTTTATTTATAAAAATAATAATACAATGGGTACTTCGGTATATTACGAATATAATAAACAATAATCAATAGAATAGTAACATATATAGTATCAGTATCATTATAATTTAAAACAGTTTGAATGCCGTAAACACCTAACATATTTGAGCTGTAGTGCTGTTTGAATGCAGTTCACGAGTTTTATATCATATTTTAAATTATGACCATGATTTATAATCACATTTAAAAAATTATTAAAAACAATATTTAACAAAGCTTTGCTTGAAACTATAGTAATAGTGTATCGTGTGACT